CCCGCGCCCCCCCGGGAGGGTCCCCGCCCCGGGACCCGCCGCCGCGGGCTGCGCGCCGGGGACCGGGGGGGTGGCGGGGTCCGGACGGCGGAGCGGGGAGGGAGGCTCCCCGGGCACGGAGCTCGTCCGCACCGGGACCGGGCGGTGCTGCACTGCGGGGTAAGGGGCCGCGCAGCGGGACCGGGGCGGGGGGGGCAGCGCGGGCACGGTGCAGTCCCGGACACTGGGGCGGGAGGCGGGAGGAGCCGGGATGTGATGAACGGCGGCACCGGGGAGTGCGGGACACCGCGGCAGGGCGGGGGGTGCACCGGGAGTGCCAGGAACCGGGACAAGGCGGGTGAGCCCGGGCACGGAGCCGGAGGAAAGGAGGATACACCGGGAACCGTGTCCGTCACCGGGGCTGAGCCCGGGTACCGGGGCAGGGGGGAAGCACCGAACATCGGGGTGAGCCCGGATAGCGGGACGGGGGTTGCACCAGGACACCGGAGGAGGGGGTAGGGACAGGGGTGCTGCACCGGGACACCCGGCTGAGCCGGAGCACCGCGGCAGGGGGGTTGCACCGGGATACCGGGATAGGGGGGATGCACCGGGATTGCACCGGGACGCCGGGGACTCCCGCGCACCGGGACGAGCCCAGGGGGCGGGGGGTTGCACCGGGACACCAGCCGCGCGGTGGGAAGCGAGGGGAAGGGTTTGTGCGCGGGAGCACCGGGAGCGCGCAGGGGGAGGGGGGTGTCACGCGCACCGGGTCCCGGCGGGGGGGTGACACGGGGGGGGGGCCCGGGGCCGCCGCGGCCCCCCCCCCCTTTCCGTCACGTGGCCCCTCCCCGGCGCTGCCACGTGCGGAGTTTGTTTTCCCTGCAGCCCCGCCCTGCCCCCCGCCCATTGGTCGCGGGCCCCTCATTACATCATCGGTTCTCCCCCTCTTCCTCCAATCCCCTCCCCTCCCCGCGTGACGTCACACCCGGAAGCGGGGACGCCGCGGTCGAGTTGCCCTTTTAAACCGCGGCAAAGGGCGGGGCTTGTGACGTCAGGGCGGGTTAACTGCCCCTCCAGGGGGCGGAGGGGGCTCCGGGGGCGGGGCC